GCCTTACCACGACTTGCGCCAGGATTAGAATACCGACGACTGCCGAAACACAATCATCTTAACTTTAGATCGGCAGTGATAAAAAGCACGTGGCAAAGAGGGAGAGCATATCGACCCCCAGCAATGACACTTACTCTTGTTACTCGAGGTCATCTGCTTGACCCCGTGCAGATTGCTACTGCGCAACCACTGGTGATTGCGAGAAGGCTCTTCTCCAGCCCAAGCGCAGCACGACTACTACGACGTGCGAAGCAGTGCTGGGACATCCTGCAGCATCGAGTAACATTCACCGTGAAGGACAACGACACAGGCCCCATCAACAGGATACGCTCTGTGTTGAAGGACTTACAATGGACATGGCCAGCCTTCGACTACTTCGAGAGGGCGAACCACCAACGAATCTACCTCACCAAGCACCCGATAGGCTGGTGGCAGCATACACTGAGAGAGGATCTTCGACGATTTGTGTGGCGTACCGATCTTCAGCTACAGGAGCGCAAGGACATGAAGGGCTGTGCTGTTGGCCTGAACTACCACGTCACCACGGCCATCTTGCGCAAAGCTGATCGTACCACCAAGCCTGACGACGAGGACGTGGACGACGAGCCGAAGGAGCAGCCCCCGTTGCTCCTTGGATCCACGGACATACCAGTACCTAAACTTACTTCCAAGCAGGTCCCGTTCTTGCGTGCCTACCTCCAGGGAGGCACCATCACAGGACATAGACTGCACTACATCACCAAGAATCCAGCCCACAAGAAGTGCCCATTTTGCCTCGCCCTTGACGAGACTATGCAGCATATCTTATTGGACTGCCCCAGATGGGAATTGCAAAGAAAAGCATTACTGGACAGCTACACGAAGGAAGAGCTTCTTGAGCTACCGACGTGCCTCTTGTGCTGTGGACAGATGCCAGACAAGCCAGAATACGATGCCTTCGCATGTGAACTACTGCCAGATGATCCTCCATTACATGCACCGCCACATCACGCCGACGGTGAGTATGAGGTGGGAGGACACGAGGAGGACATTCTCACAAAGATCGATGACTACACTGTCGTAGCTGGTGACGGGTCATGTCCTGGCCAGGCGTCGGACCTACGTCTACGCAGATCGGGCTACTCACTGTACTACGGCAGAGGTCATCCATGCAATGTTGAAGTACCCCTGCGCAGTGTCGCACAGGGAGCTCAGAGAGCAGAGGTTGCAGCACTTCGGCACTTTGTCGCGTGGAGCTGGGGCAAACAGATCTACCTGACGGACAGCAGCTACTGCGTTCGCAACTTCTCAGCACTCCTCCGAGGGGAAGCGCTGAACACCAAGCAGCACACCGACCTCTGGCAGGCCATCGAGACAGGACTCAATGCCAAAGGACGAGAGCTATTTCGAATACAGAAGGTCAAAGCCCACACGAGCGAGCGTGACGTCCCAGCAGATGAACGACTCTTGTGGGAGATGAATCGCCAGGCAGATGCAGGAGCTGTGCGTGCGGCAAGGTCACACGGCCTTCCAGACACCATTCGCCAGCAGCATCGGCAGGAGCAGAAATTATGTTATCTTCTTCAGCACACGGCGACGGTCATCCTCATGCACCGAGCAAAAGAGCTGAAAGAAATGGGCCGAGATTCACATCATGACAAATGCGAGCAGGCCCAAGCTATGGAACGTGCTGAGTTGGACGGTCAACAACATGCACAGCTTGATGAAGACAACGAGGAGGACCCGTGGGCGCATCTGGGCATGGACTCGGACGACGAGCAACCCCAGCTACCGCCACAACGGGCCTCCTCGACATCACCCCAGCCAACACCAACGGCCCCGCCTGCACCAAGGCGCCGACTACTACGCAAAGCAGCTCCAGAAGCAGATCCACCAGCCACCATCCTTGAGGAACCTAGCTCGTCATCGAGCTCGAGACCTCAGGAGACATGCACGGGACTAGCACTGGACCAAGCTACTACGAACCCGACAAATTGGACCCCGAAGGCAGCATTTCCTGGCTATCAGTGGGAACCAATCCAACCAAATATTTACGACTGGAAGTTCAAACCAATACTACCTGAGACGGTGGCAAATCGAGCTTGGTACTACCAACAGGCGTTATTTCCTGCAGTGGTATGGTACTTCTCACAGCTACAATGGGAGGCTGATGACACGGTACGAGCGCCAATGTCGGTATCCTGGGTGGAGCTTGCCATCGACTTCACTATTGTAACGGGCCTCTCTCTTGTCACGCCGCAGGAGAGCGCTAGTGAGGCAAAGATTGTGCGCATGGCCAGATACTTCAGTACTGCAGCTACGAGGATGGCACAGCTATGCAAATGCAAATTGGCTCCAAGAGAGACCCATGCTGAGATAAGCGCCTTGATACCACCTGGTCTTCGCAAGGCCCCAGGATTTAAATGCCGAGCGTCTTTTGTGGCTCACCAGCACACGATGAAGGTGATGTACGCGTTGGCCCTCGCCTCTACTGACCGCAGGGGCAGCCTCGACGTATGTC